TAGTTATTGCTAAAACTTCTAGTGCTATATTTATTAAGAATTGCAAAAATAACCATCCTTGTTTTGTTATAGTTTTGAGGAGAAATTTTAGCATTTGATATTGTATAATATTGGATGCTGGTTTGTCATATATAGTCTTTATAATTTTGAGGAATGTTCCTTCCATACCTAATTTGTGGAGGGTTTTTATTATGAAAGAGTGTTGAATCTTTTTTTCTTTTCTTTTCTTTTTTTTTTTTTTTGCCAGGCACAGTTAGACAGTGAGAGAGAGAGACAGAGAGAAAGGTCTCCCTTCCGTTGGTTCACTCCCCTAATGGCCACCACGGCCAGCATTGCGCCGATCCGAAGCCAGGAGCCAGGTAATTCCTCCTGGTCTCCCATGTGGGTGCAGGGACCCAAGCACTTGGGCCATCCTCCACTGCCCTCCTGGGCCACAGCAAAGAGCTTGACTGGAAGAGGAGCAACCAGGACTGGTACCCAGCACCCCAACCGGGACTAGAACCCAGGGTGCCGGCGCTGCAAGCGGAGGATTAGCCAAGTGAGCCACTGCGCCAGCCAAGAGTCTTGAATCTTATCAAATGCTTTTTCTACATCTATTGAGATAACCAATATAGTTTTTGCTGTTCATTCTATTGATGTGATTTATGACTTTTATTGATTTGTGAATGTTGAACCAATCTGTATTCCTGGAATATATCCCACTTGATCATGATGTATGATCTTTTTGATGTGGATTTGGACTCGATTTGCTAGTTTCTTGTTGAGAATGTTTTGGTCTATGTTCATTAAAGATATAGATTTATAGTTTTCTTTTCATGTCTTATCCTTGGGTGTGATATCAAAGTGATGCTGGCCTCATAAATGAGTTCAGCAGACTTCCATCCCATTCAATATTTTGGAATAGTTTGAAGAATATGGTTACTTTCTCTTTGAATGTTTTTGTTGAATTCAGTAGGAATGCCATCAGGCCCCAGATTTTTCCCTGATGGAAGACTTTTGATCACTCCTTCAAATTCACTGCTTGTTATGGATCTGTTTAGGTTGTCTATATCTTCTTGATTTAATCTTTTTAAAAGGAAAAGTTTCTTTTGTGATAACCGGGATAGAACTGCCAAACATTATGCTAAGTGAAATAAATGAAACACAGAAAGATAATTATCACATGTTCTTAATCATATGTGGAATTTAAAACAATTAAATTAATAAAATTGAAGAGAGTTGTACTTAACAGATGCTAAGAGATGAGGCGAATAGGGAGATGATAGTGAGTACAAAGCCTCATTTAGACAGGAGGAATATTTGATTTTTTTAATAATTATAAAACATGGGCTGGCGCCGCGGCTCACTAGGCTAATCCTCTACCTTGTGGTGCCGGCACACCGGGTTCTAGTCCCAGTCGGGGCGCTGGATTCTGTCCCAGTTGCCCCTCTTCCAGGCCAGCTCTCTGCTGTGGCCTGGGAGTGCAGTGGAGGATGGCCCAAGTCCTTGGGCCCTGCACCCCATGGGAGATCAGGATAAGTACCTGGCTCCTGGCTTCGGATCAGCACGGTGTGCTGGCCACAGCGCCAGCCGCGGCGGCCATTGGAGGGTGAACCAACAGCAAAGGAAGACCTTTCTCTCTGTCTCTCTCTCTCACTGTCCACTCTGCCTGTCAAAAAAAAATATAAAACATGGTGAATATAAAAAATAAAGGATTGCTGTACATTTCAAAATCACTGAGTGAATTTCTAATATTCATCATAATAATAGTAAACATTTGGTTGATACGTTAATTAGCTTAATTTAAGCTATCTACATTGCATTCAAAAATTTTGATCCCACTTTTATCCCATAAATATATACAACTATATCTTACCAATACATAATAAAATAAAAATTAATAAAAACTTACTTGGAATCAATGCCCTCTGAGCCATACTTTAGAAAACACGAAGATGGCAATATGAGAAACTTCTGGATGAGAAAACAGCACTAGTAAAGGCCAAGAGATTAGTGTAGTGTGGATTATGCGGGAAAATCCAGCAGTTCAGTTACTATTCTAAGGGCTAAAGTATGAAGATAAAAATAAAAACAAAGGTAAGAGCTAGATCATGAGTATTTTTGTCCAAAATAAAGTTTCGTGTACCTTCTACAAATATATTGATATTATTAGGAGAAAGCATTTGGGTATCTCCAAATCTCCTTTTTGCTTCCTTCTCCACCTCTATTATGAAGAAATTATTACCCCTGAGGTGCCAACTCTGGTCAGACTAGGATATTTGTACTCCAGTTGACATTCTTGGAGCTAGACAAAGCCTTTCTTTCCCAGACCTCTGAATCTTTGAAGAGCTATCTCATGAGTCATCTAAATGCTATCTTAGTGGCTACATATGAGACAATGTAGTTGAGGTTACACAGCACCTGAAATGTGTGGATCACCAGATGCTATGCTAACACTGCTACTCTTAACTATACTTTGAATTCTGGGAAGGCAGAAATTATCTGGTTTTAATCTCTGTAGCCTTAGATTACAGTTAGTCACATATGAGATATTCAATAAATACTGATACAGTGGTTGGATGCCAATAGGCACTTACAATCCATATTGGATTCCTATACACCCTACACTTATGAGCCTCATGATAAAGATTCATTCTCTCTAATTTTTCTTGCTTTCTTTGTTCAAATCTTACTGTCTTTTCTTAGATCTGGCATGCTCTTTAGTTCCTCCCTCTGTGTCACTATTTTTAGTTCCTCCTCTTAGCCATTCTGAAACTCTGTACTTCCCCTGCATATGTCTTATAAGCTTACATTGTAAACTCCAGAGATTAGTCTAGTGCCTGGCAGAGAGCTAGTGCTTAATAAAATTAAATAAATTCATAATTATATTCTACTGATAAGTAACATATCTGTTCAATTTTTTCAAAGAACAAATAGAATTAAAGAAACTGTAGTAAGTATAAAGACATGGAATTTTAGTTAGTGTGGCTGAACTATGAATTTCAATATAAATGTGCAAATGTGAAAACACGATACTAGAATTTAGCTATATTATTTCAGTCAGTAAAACCTACTAAACATTACTCTGAAATTTGCAACAGTATTACTATTGAGTTACAGCTGATCCTATCTTGACATTGAACTATTTTGACTAATCGAATGTCCTAATCAATTTCTCTGGGCTAACTACTGAATTATCAGTCCTCATCTATTTTATTTTAAAGATTTTATTTATTTTGTTTGAGAGTTAGAGTTACAGGCAATAAGAGGGAGAGACAGGGAGAAAGGTCTTCCATCTGCTGGTTCACTCCCCAGACGGCTGCAATGGCCAGAGCTGCGCCCATCCGAAGCCAGGAGCCAGGAGCCAGGAGCTTCCTCCCAGTCTCCCATGTAGGTACAGGGGCCCAAGGACTTGAGCCATCTTCTACTGCTCTCCCAGGCCATTGCAAAGAGCTGAACTGGAATTGGAGCAGCTGAGACTAGAACCGACACCCATATGGGATGCCAGCACCACAGGCAGAGGGTTAACCTACTGCTCCACGGCGCCAGCCCAGTCCTCATCTGTTCTTCTCCCACAAACAGACCTAATCAGGTGGTCATAAATTTATATTGCTATATTTATTGTAAGAATATATAGAAAAATCAAATATCCATTCACAGGGGACTAGTTAAAATAAATGATGGCATATGATCTTGATGGATTATTATTTAAACATTTAAGATAGACAATTATAAATACTGTCTAGCTATACAGAAATAACTTAAAATGTAATGTGAATTGAAACAAAATCAGAACACAAATCTGGAAGCCTAATGTAGCCATGGAAATGGTGATTAAAAGAGAATATGGAAATAAGAAATAAGTAAGATGGTTTGTGAAATTTGAGGGTATTCTTAATTATACCTTAGGTACAAATTTTAGAATGGCATATGAGGCTGGCGCCGCGGCTCACTAGGCTAATCCTCCACCTTGTGGCGCCGGCACACCGGGTTCTAGTCCCAGTCAGGGCGCCGGATTCTGTCCCGGTTGCCCCTCTTCCAGGCCAGCTCTCTGCTGTGGCCAGGGAAGTGCAGTGGAGGATGACCCAAGTCCTTGGGCCCTGCACCCCATGGGAGATCAGGAGAAGCACCTGGCTCCTGCCATCGGATCAGTGTAGTGCGCCGGCTGCAGCGTGGGGGCCACTGGAGGGTGAACCAACAGCAAAGGAAGACCTTTCTCTCTGTCTCTCTCTCTCACTGTCCACTCTGCCTGTCAAAAAAAACCAAAAACCAAAAACAACAACAACAACAAAAAAAAAACAAACAAAAAAAAGAATGGCATATGTACATTGGATGTCAATTACTATAATCCACAGTAGCAAATATGAAAACTTTGGTAGAATATAAACTACTCAGATTCATATGCTGAAAGCAGTATTGTATTCTTGTCTATTGCTACTGCAAATGAAAGCCCGTTTATTGTTGAAATGTAACTCATTTGTATTATAATTCTAGAGAGGGACCCTGCTTTCTGAAGTGAAAGTTCCTTCATACATAGGAACACATTTATCTGATGGATAAGTGACATTAGAACAAGAATACCAGAAATTACAAAATGAGAACACCCAGATTTCTCCATTCTATCTAATCGAATATTTTCATGTAAAATCTCTTCACATTCTTTCTCATGTGAATGTATTATTTTTACAATTGACATTCAAATGACTTTTGGAACTTGTTTATATTATGCAATGTATAAAGTTTTATTTCCTAATTCACAATGATCATTCCTTATTGCAGCATAGATGGAAAAAATATTAAAAGCAAAAATGTAATGCCCTATAATTCTTGCACTGCAAGGACAAACTTGAGTCTTTTTCCTGACCTTCCTTTGTCTGCTGACCATGTGCTTTATGGCTTTGCATACAAGACTGTTATCACCTGATTTCCATTTGAGTTGTAATGTGATAACACAGAGTCCAAGGGGAACTGGGTTTTAGGTGACAGACACATCATTTAATGTCTTCCTATTGTTTCTTCAGGGAAATTCTGGTCTGGGATTCAGTATTGCTGGAGGGACAGATAATCCCCACATTGGAGATGACCCTGGCATATTTATTACGAAGATTATACCAGGAGGTGCTGCAGCGGAAGATGGCAGACTCAGGTAAAGATATGAAACAGCAGAATCATTTGGACAGCAAATCTACTTCATCAATGATATACATTTGTATCTTTGGAGAATAATTCTATAAAAGTTTTGTGCTTGAAATAGAAGGTTATCAAAGCAAGCTTTCTGTTATGCCTGTGTAGATATTTTTGCTATTTATTGCATTTCATCTAGTGTTTAACCTGTATTTGTCAACAGCTGCCACATTGAACATTGGTCACATTTTTTAAGCACAATGTTTGGAGGGAAAAAAACTGAAAAGGAGCTAACAATCAGCCAGAGGATGGGGACAAAACTCATTAAAAGGCAGGATTTGAAATGCAGTCTATCCCGTCCAGCTGGCTCATGGTAAAGCAAAACTTCACCAGACAGATGTGATTGGTGACTTCTCCTTTCTATTCTCATGAGAAACCAAAACTCAGATCAGTAGAATCACCACTTCCTTAATATTCTTGTGATAAATCTGGAAGGGTCAAGAGTGGGATTCGGCACCTTTATTTTGCTAATGGTAACTTTTGGAAAGAAGCAAATATTTTACCCCCTCTGAAAGAAATTTCCCCATTGCATCATTCTGACCACGATTGGCCTAACTGCCTAGAAGCCTGTCTGCCTCCTTACTATAAAAGGGTAGCTGCGTGAGCCAGGCCCCTTCCTTAATTTTGAGAAAGAAGAGTCTCCCACATGGGGCAGTTAGTTGATAATACAAAATATTTTCAGAGATCAAAATGCTAAAAGCCGTTGTGGTTTGGAAAACTTCAGATCTCCTTGCAGAGAACAACTTATCCTCCTGTTATGTTAGCACACCCCTCAGGCCAAACAGAAAGATAGACAGGTACATAGGTAGATAGGTAGAACTCCATAAATTATTGATGAATGAATTTTTTAATGATTAAAGTGGAGAAGGGGAAGGAGGGAAAATTCATTGATTGAGGGAGGGTAGTGAATGTATGTTAAAGGAAAATTATTTATGGTAAACAAAGACTATAAGCAAGACTTTATTTAAGAAAGATGATTACGATGAGGGTTATGCAATAAGGGAGAAAGATTGGGCTTAACTTTGAATAAAAATAAGGACAAGTAGGGATAGATAGCATGAATGAGGAAGAGTTCAGTGGATGAAAAATCACTAAAAGAAACCATCAGGGTAAGGGAAATTCTGGCTAAAGGAAGCAGACAGTATTCTTATTGAAGGCAGGCCTGAGTGATAAGATATTCAGAGTGGAGGATGACAAATCTAATGAAAACCAAAGGTGAGGCATTTTACATAAGCTGACTCAGCAGGATTCTTGTGAAAAATGGACCAAATAGGCCAAAGGCAGAACCCAAGGTCAAGGCCTAGTTAATAGAGCTCAGAGGAGCCTGACTCAAGTTTGGTCAAGGAGAGTTTCTATAGGTGGCACAAGCACATTCTTGTAGGTAAGAATGAATTTAGCTAGCATAGAGTCACTTCAAGAAATGTGACTTAAGTAGCACACATGTAAGCCTTTCTCCGTCCATTTTTTGATTAACCATAAATACGGCAGTTTGTTATTTTTCTTATAAAGGAACCAAAGATACTGTTGTTCCCTATCCAATTGTTCTAATACAGTGATTACTTTTGAGGGATCCATCTTTGTAGCTTGTGGAGAAAAACCACATTTATTTCCCAGGTACATCTGCATTTCCTACCTACAAGAAAAGATACTTCCATGGGGAAACACATTTTTTGACAATAGAATTCCTAAGCAAAATTGACTAATTTCTGAGGGGCAAAATATCTATGCTGAATAGTTATTAGCTATATAGTTGAGCATGATGGAGTGGGTATTTAAATTAGGTTCTTGCCACTCAAGTCAAGAACCTGGATTGCAGCCCTGGCTTCTGGTTCTGGCCCCACCACTGTGGGCATTTGTCAGTGAGTCCTCTGTTTCTCCATGTTTCTCTCTCTCTTTCTCCCTCCCCTCTCTTATTCTCTCTCTCTCCTCCTCTTTCTCTCTCTCTCTCTCCTGCTCAAATAAATAAAAAATACCTTAAAAAGGATTAAAAGTGTCAATTTTAAGAATGCCACCATTCTTTGCCTACAAGCATGGAAGGCAATCCCATGTCTACAGCTTTAAAGGGATGTTCTTCTGTGCTGGAGCCTTGACTCAAAGATTGTAAAGAGAATAATCATAATGAAAGAATAACACTGATTCAGTTTTTTTTATGTGTGGGGAATTATGCTTAGATGGGTAAAGTTTTAAATATAGATGTAATTACAAACACACACACACACACACACACACATACACATACATAACACAATCCCCTTTATATTTATAGTAGCCACATGAGGTAGATATTATTACTACTGTGGCCATAGTAATATGTGTTTAGGAAACTAATAAGTCAGTGTAAGGTCACCTAGCTAACTTTCTCTATATTAAAAGCACAGTCCAGGATGTCACTAACATACTCTAAACCTTCATCTAGTGGTAGAATCCACTATATCATATCATCTGCTTAAAAACTCCCAGAGGTGAAGTTTTCACAATATTAAGTGACAAATCTCAACATAAGTTTGCTCTTTTTATACTGAATCATGGTTTCCTTTATTCTGACATCCACACATTGTTTCTTATTCTGGCTTCCTGTAACCAGAGGCAGAGCTAATGAATATGGATATGAATGTCACCTCCTAAGGCTGTACAATGAACAAAGTGTACAATTCTGTGCAGTATTTCTAACTGAAACAACAAAACTTCCTTACCCCCCACTGATATTGCAACCTTGTTCCTATTGGCTATTGTGTCCACTTCATTGTGGTACTGAGATTGTTCCCCACCTTATTGCTTCCCACCATGCACTTGAATGGCTTAGGTACATATCAGAGTTCAAACATAATAATTGATTGAAAATCTGACAATGTGGCATTAAGCATGGATTTTCAGAATTAAGCATTTAATCTATCCCCAAAGCTATTTTACAAAAAGTGGTACTGAGGCTTGGAAATGTGACTTATCCTGAGATATAAAACATTTGAGGACCCACTTTAAATAGAATCCAAATATCTTTACTGAAATAATTGACATTTCAAAGTAGGGACGCAGGCCCAAACTAAGTCCAATTCTTTTTTCAATGTAGCAAAACAAAAACAAAAACTGAATCTGTACCAAAAATCTGTAAGGATACCTTTTAATCTCACAGTTAATCCTTAAGGACATGAAAGCAGGATGTTACAATGAGCTCTGCAAGGATGTAGGTCTAATATCTGTCCAGGTAAACTAATATAATTGACCTTGGACTAATTAAATCCTCTTAGTTGCCATTTTTAATCTATAAAATATTGATTATAATGGCTATTCCGCTGAATTCTGATAATTCTGATAATTTGATGGTGTAAGAAGCCTTTCTCTATGCCAGGCACACAGTTGTTGCACAATATATTTTACCAGTTGCCCCCACCTTTTTAAATCATCCCTCTCTACTTTTCAGTAGTTTTCCCTATCCTTTTGCCTCTGTTTCTTTTTCTCTGTTTGATTTTCTCTCATCATTTCTATATTTTCTTCAGTCTCCTTTCACCCTCTGTCTTTTAAGCTTCCTGTTCCTATTTTTAATTTTTTATCTTGATCATACTATAACATAATATCAAAAGTCACTTAAAATGGATATGGTACTGAGTAAATTTCTATATTTCTATTCTCAAGTTTATGCTGAAACCACCTGAATCTACTGTTTCCTCCTCTTAACAAATGAAAATGGACCCATACACTAAAGTTATTTTTCTTTTTTTAAAATATTTATTTATTTTATTTGAAAGGCAGAATTACAGAGAAGTATAGAGAAAGAGAGAAGGGTATAGAGAAAGAGAGAGAGTGGTCTTCCATCCTCTGGGTTCACTCCCCAAATGGCTGCAACGGATGGAGCTGGGCCGATCCAAAAGCAGGAACCAGGAGCTTCTCTCAGGTCTCCCACATGGGTGCAGGGGCCCGAGGGTTTGGGCCATCTTCCACTGCCTTCCCAGGTCATAGTAGAGAGCTGGACCAGAATTGGAGCAGCCAGGACTCAAACCAGCACCCATATGGGATGCTGGCGCTGGCCCCGTTATTTTTCTTTTATGCCTACAAACACTTTGGTGTTTCTTATGAGTTAAAGTTCTTAAAATTTTTAAATGTATATTTCCTATTACAAATTTCTATAGTTTGAATGTTTTTGACATCCCAAAACTCAGATTACTGAAAGCTAATCACCAATGTTATGACTTGTGGTAGGGCCTGTGTGTATGAGGGAGTAATTAGATCAATTTTGAAGAGGTCACTAACGAGATTAGTGCCCTTATAAGGAAATATTCTAGATTTTTTTAAAAGATTTATTGATTGATTGAGTTATTTGTTGAAAAGGCAGACTGGCAAAGTGAGGGACAGAGAAAAGAAAGACTTTTCATCTGCTGACTCACTTCCAAAATGCCTGCAACAGCCAAGGCTGAGCCAGGCTGAAGCTAAGAGCCTAGAACTCCATCTGTGTCTCTCCTGTGGGTAACAGGGCCAAGCATTTGAGCCATTATCTTCTGCCTTCCAGGATGCATTAGCAAGAATGCTGGATCTGAAGCAGAGTAGCCAGAACTTAAAGGGGCACACTGATAAAGGATGCAGGTGCATCAACTGGCAGTTAACCCACTATGCCACAAAGGTCTCCCTTAGTCCTTGGCTTGTGTTAATGCTCTATAAAAGCTTCCTTGCCCCTCCCACCATGTGAGAACACAGCTAGAAATCACCATCTATTAATTATGAAGAGTGCCCTGACCAGAAACTGAATCTCCTAATTCCTTGATTGTAGTCTTCCTAGCCTCCAGAACCATTGGAAATGAACCACTGTTGCTTTGTTATATAGCAACTCTAAAAGATTAAGATTTAAATTGTATTTTTGACAGTTATATAATACTATAATGTACAGAAAAGCTGAGGCCCAGAAAAGTGAGGTAATGTACTACTCAGAGGAGAGTAGTAATATTGGATCTAAATTAGTGAACATATAATAAT